TTCTACCTTTCTGTGAAACTATGAATTAAAGTGGAGTTACAATATTTGTATTTTTTTGGTTAACTCAAATTTTGTTAATAATTGATTTATAGACAGTAAAATACATGATATAATGGTATACATTTCTATGAATTTTGGCATTTGTATACATTAGTATTCAACTGCCCATCCCCATCAATATTTCCTTGTGTCAGACATCTTTTTTTCTTTTTCTACTTAATAATCACAACACTATATCAAGTAACTATTGATCTAAATTTCGGTACTATGGATTAGTGGTTTGTCTGTTCTACAACTTTATACATAAAGGGAATCATAGAGTATACACTCTTTTATGCCCTGCATTGTTCAGTCAGCATAATGTATACAAGATTCATCCATATTGTTGCAAGTTCTTTTTTTTTTATTACTGAGTAATATTCATTTGTGAGAATATACCACAATCTATTCATTGACTTATAGGCAGTTTGGTTCTATGTTTTGCTGTTATGGATAAGTCTGCTATAAATATTTATACATGTCAGATATATGTTTTTATTTCTCTTGGGTAAATTCCTAAGCTGAAATTGTGGAATTGTATGGTAAGTGTATGTTTAACTTTATGTAAAATTGCCAAACAGCTGGGTGCAGTAGTACATGCTGATAGGCCCAGCTGCTTGGGAGGTTGAAGTGGAAGAATTGCTTGAGCCCAGGAGCTCCCCACCAGCCTTGGAAACATAGGGAGACTTACTTACCCTCCACCCCAAAAAACGACAATAATAAACAAGCAAAAAACTACTGTTTCCAGAGTAGTTCACTATTTTACATTCCCATCAGCAATGCATGAGAATTCCAGTTGTTCTATATCCTTGCCATCACTTGGTATTTTTAGTCTTTTTAATTTTAGTCATTGTAGTATAGTTGAGATATCTTTGTGGCTCTTTTTTAAAAATTAACTATTGAAGTATAATTTAAGTACAATAAAATTAACCTATTCTAAGTGTAAAAGTTGATGATTTTTGACAGATGTTTGTACCAATGTAAACACCACCACAATCCTTATTCCTAAATTCTCTTACTTGCCTGCCCATCATTTGCTACCTAACCTAGACAATCCTTTTCTGCATTATATAATTGTAGATTAGATTTGTCCTTTTTTAAGAGTTTCATATACATAAAATATTTGTTCTTTTGTGAGCCCTTTGTTATTTATTGAAGAGTATGTAAGCTGAAAATATTTTTGAATTGGAGATAAAATATCTTATAATTCCTTTTTATATCTCTCTTGGGATATGGAGATATATAGTTCATACAACATGCAATTAACTCACCCATTGAAAGTGTACAAATTAGTGTTTTTTCGTTATCTTCATAAGGCTGTGTAGTCATCACCATAATCTAATTTTGAAATATTTCATCCCTGACTAGATACCCTGTCTCCACCAGCAATCAATCTCTATTTGTTTAAAAAATATGTTATTTTTTATTTTGGTAAAATATGTATAAAATAAAATTTACCACATTAACAATTACATTCGTAATGTTGTGTAGTTATTACCTCCATCCATCCCTGTAACTCTTCTCTCTTGTAAAACTGAAATTCAGTACTCATTAAACAATAATTACCCTTTACCTCCTTCCCCCGTCCCTTAGCAGCCACCATTCTACTTTTCATCTCTATGATTTTGACTACTGAAACTACCTTATGTGAGTGGAAACATATAGTATTTGTCTTTTTGTGCTATAGGATTAGTTCATTTACCATTGTAACCTCAGGGCTAATCCTCACTGTAGCATGTGTTATAATTTCCTTCCTTTTTACCCGGAAAATGTGCCATTGTAAGTTTATAGTACTTTTGCTTATCCATACCTGTTGATGGACACCTGGATTGCTTCCACATTTTAGTATTGTGAATAATGCTTCTATGAACATGGGTACAAATATCTTGTAAAGATCCTGCTTTCAGTTCTTTGGATATATATCCAAAAGTATAATTGATGTATCAATTTTCCCAGGAACTGACATTCTGTTTTCCACAGTAGATACACCATTTTATATTCCTATCAGCAGTGCATAAAGGTTCTGATTTCTCTATATCCTTGCCAATACTTAGCTTTCTTTGTGTTTTTTTAAAATAGTAATCCTCCTAATGAGTGTGAAATGATATCTCATTGTAGTTTTTTTAAAGACCCATTTCTTTTTTAATTTTTTAAAGTTGTAGATGTACATAATACCTTTATTTTATTTATTTAATTTTTATATGGTGCTGAGGATCGAACCCAGTGCCTCACATGTGCTAGGCAACCACTCTACCACTGAGCTATGACCCTAGCCCCACTCATTGTTGTTTTAACTTGCATTACTCTAATGATCAGTTATGTTGAACATCACATGTATTTGTTAACCTTTCCTATATATTCTCTGGAGAAATATCTGTTCAAATTCTTTGCACTTTTGTTTTGAATTGGGTCAATTTTTTTTTATTATTTGTTATTGAACTAGTATTTGCTTTGCTTCTCCCATGCCCCCCATTTGGTACCAGGGATTGAACCCAGGGATGCTTAACCATTAAGCCACATCCCCAGCCCTTTTTTTGTATTTTATTTAGAGACAGGGTCTCACTGAGTTTGCTTAGGGCCTCACTGAGTTGCAGAGGCTGGCTTTGAACTCAAGATCTCCCTGCCTCAACCTTCTGAGCTACTGTAGTTATAGGCATGCACCACTGTGCCTGGCTTTGGTATTTACCCTTACATCTAACTTTTTTCATTTAGCATGTTTCTGAGATGCATGCATATAGTTGAATGTATCTGTAGTGTGTTTTCATTGCTGGATAGTATGCTAGTGTACCCATACAATGTGGTATACCCAAAACATTTGCCTGCTGTTGAGCATTGGGTATTGTGAATAAAGCAGCCATGAATATTAGTATACAAGTTTTTAGGGCATATATTTTCATTTTGGATGAATATTCAAGCGTAGAATTGCTAGGCATATATTTTCCTTTATTCGTTTATAACAACTGTCAAAACAGTTTTGAAAAGTTGCTTTATACTATATAAGACTTCCTGTTGCTTGACATTAATGTCAAAACTTGTATTTTCTGGTTTAATTTTAACCATTTGAGTGTGTGATTAAATCTTATCTTGATTTTTAATTTGTATTTGCCTGATGACTATTTACTTTGAACATCTCTCTATATGTTTATCAGCCATTTATATTCTTTTGAGAAGTGTCTGATCAAATCTTTGACGATATGAGAGACTAGATCCAAAGTTTGCATTTTCTCAACCCTTAATATTTTTTTCCATTATACGGTGGCATTCCCTAGTGAAAATGTGAACCAAAATCTTACTAAGCTCTAATATTTCAGTTCTTTTCCAACATTGGAGAGTATTTTCTTAAACATTTTATGTTATTTAATATTTGTGAGATATTTGTATTTAGAAACTTTGCTTTCAACAAGGGGGATAATTGACCTGTCACTAGGAAAAGATGCTTCTGTTGAATCTGGGATCTTGAAAACCAATTTTACCATTTGCTTGACTTAATTGGAAAAGTCAATTTTCCAGACTTGTCAGTTTTTAGATGTCTGTGTGTCCTCTGCTGTATTAACCTGTGGCTTTCTTTCTTTCTTTCTTTTTTTTTTTACCAGTAGAACTTTACAACTCTCAAAATTTATAGCAAGTATCTTACCCTTTGCTTTATCTATCTCCATTCAGCAGTTCACCACTGTAAAATTAACTCCACTCTGGCAAATATGTAAATTAATGTTTTTCAGAATACATGAACTCCTTTTGGCACTTGGTTTCCAGGGAGCTGATTAAACATTGAAGTCTTAGTTGTTCATGTGTTTGTGTTTAATTTTCATCTTTTTTTTTTTTTTTTTTTTGTGAATGGGCAAGGGAAGGAAAGAAGAAATTGGTATGGTAGAAAAGCAAAGATGGAAAGGTTGTGATTTTGTTTTTTTCTGTTGTTGTTTTCCCCAGAGAATATCGCTTACCCTGCAGAGAGCTGCCCATAGTCCTGGATGGGACAGCTTGCCTGCTTAGTAGCCCTCAAAAACATTTATGTCATTTCATACCTGTGCTGTGCTTACTACTTGGGAACTTATTAGTTAAGAAAACAGTGTCAGAAATATTTTTATAAGGAAACATCTCCTATAATACTGCTTTCTTTTGTTACCTTATATTATAGTCATGTTAGGTTTATCAAATAACTTTTACCTGTACATTCTTTCCTTTATCAATGTTATTTTCATTAAGAATAATGATTATTATATCAAAGAATGAATTCAATTCTTCACTAATTTTTGCATTCTCATTGAGATTTTCATTTGTGACTGTTGAACCTCTCAATCTGATGAAAGAAATAATGTTAAAAAGATTAGTTTAAGATATTGATTTTACTTGTTCTGACATCCTTATGCATTGTTTTTATGGATGTTTTGCTTAAATGAGAATTTCTGTGCCAAATGCATAGGTCTTTAAAAAATTTTCTAAAATATAGTTTTAGTATCAAGTAGTAGAGAAACATTTAATGTTTTGGTGCCTGGCGCATTCCTATAATCACAGTAACTTGAGAGGCTAAAGCAGGGAGATCGAAAGTTCCAGGTCATCTTCAGCAATTTGTGAAAAACCCTATCTCAAAATACAAGATAAAAAGGACTAGGGTATAGAGGTTGTGGCTAAGTGGTAGAGTGCTTCCCTACTACCCGTGAGGCACTGGGTTTGATCCCCAGCACCACATTTAAAAAAGAAAGAAAAAGAAAAACTAAATAAACAAAAAGAACGGGAGTGTAGCTCAGTGGTAGAGCATCCCTGTGTTCAATTGTCTGTAACCTCCTCACCCCCCAAAGAGAGAGAAAGAGAGGAAGAGAATTTTATATTTCACATCATTAAGGAATTATTTTGCTCTTATACATATTTCAAACTATACTTCCCCTTTACAGTGTTCCCTATCCCCCTTGTACAGTTATCTGTTTTTGTTTTTTTTAATGGCCTTCTCTGTTTGTTGTTTGCAGGCAGCTATCAATGGTGTAATACCCCAGGAAAATGGCATTCTACAAAGGTATGTTGTAAAGTGTAAAATAGAAAGTTGTTGATTTTTTGTTTCAATTAAAAAATATATATATATATTTAGTTGTATATGGACACAATATCCTTATTTTGTTTTTATGTGGTGCTGAGAATCAAACCCAGTGCCTCACGTGTGCCAGGCAAGCACTGTACCACTGCCACAAAATCAGCCCTCTTTGTTTCTTTTTAATAGAGGATTTGATTTTTGGTGTGAAAGTTCATTGTTCTTTCAGACTTTTTTTTTTTGTTTATTAAGTCCATAAACTCTCCAACTTTTAACTGTATAATATTTTTTTGTATTGGGTAGCATCATCTTTTAAGGTTGTTTATTTTATTATTAAGAAAACTTTTAAAGGTCATCTCTTGTTTTATAGGATGGAAGGAACCGAATTCTTTAAAGCGTTGATTGGCACTGAGAAAATGAAATATGGTTCAGAGTATGTTTGTCATCATGTTAACTATTCAGCCTTTATCTCCAAGATGACTATAATCCCCACTCCCCATTTCGGTTTCTAAATCATATGATAGCATTCAACAATTTGAGTAAATTCTTAATAATGAAACTTTACAGAACACTGAACTGTTTTTTCTGAAATATACAATGTTAACATGTGGACTGGTTTTGTTGATTTTGATTCTTAGTCAAAAGGTAAAATTGTAAGATGAGGCCAAGAGAACCATAATAGTTAAAACATTAAGTTAAAAATACCTGGTGCTTACTATGTGTGGGGCACTGGGTTTGATTCTCAGTACCACATATAAATAAATAAAATGGAGGGATTATGTCCACCTACAACTAGAAATAAAAAAAATTAATAAAAAGAATAAACTAAAAAGTTATAGAAGGTAAAACCATTCCCCCTTCCAAGTGTAGTGTAATTATTTGATCTCCTCCCACCCCTGCCTACCCTTCTCAATTCAAACTTTGGCTGTGTTTTGGTGGCTGGGATTGCTAAATCACTGAAGCATGCTCTACTAAGTACATATGAGGCAAATAGAAAACAGTGGACTAGGAATAAAGTTGTTTTGGAGACGAATAAAAGTGCTCTTGCAACAACTTCAAAAAAATTTTGCCCTGAATTGCAAAATGTGCTACATTTTGTAGGAAACAGTATACTTAGGATGAAAGCAAATTCTCTTGGTACCTGTATCACCCTTAATGATTAATGAATGGTTCTAGGCGAAGCCTGTTCCCCTATGCCCTTTTAAAAAATTGTCAGAGTTTTATCCAGAGTAAATGTGGCTGGCTTCCAAAATCTGTACCAGCCATTTATGTGTGTGTGTGTGTGTGTGTGTGTGTGTTTTCAAAAGCAATTCAATTCTATTGAAGCCTTGTCTAGAAAGCAAACCAGATGATTACAGAAACATCTTTCATGCTCAGTTTTTAATTTATTGGGGTAGAAAGTTTAGACTGCTAAATACGACTCCAGTTTCATTCATAAGTGTTAATTACCATGCTTTTGTGTGCCACACTGTTTGTTGTGGTAAGCCCTTATGGGTTTGACTACTAGTTTCTGAGTACAAACTGGATATATTTTAAAATTGATAGCATTTGCTATGATTGAATGTAGAAATTCCCTTTACCCTGGAAGCATTTTGACTCTCTTGTTACAGAAGATACTTTTACCTAATATATTTTTTGACTAGAAATTCAGAACTGAATCGTTTTCTAATAAAGTTTCTATAATATTTGGGGTTTAAATTTGATCAGATTGGATTTTGTTTGCTTCTTTCAAATTAAAGGAATGAATCTTAATGTCTGTATAAGAAAGTCACCTGAATCTTGTATGTTTTTTTTTCAACTATTTCCTTATTGTTTTCTTTTTTGAAATCACTGTGGATTTGACATAAATGAAAGTTCCTCTTGTGTGTTCACTGAGCAGAAGAAAAATGAAACAGGGCTCCTTGTTTTTTCATAGGTTTAACACAGAAAGCAGAAGATACAATGCTAGAAATTGTACATGAAGGGACTTAAAAGAACCGTTGTTTTGTATGTTTGATTTTTTAATAAAGTTGAATATAGTGTGTGTATACAGTTGACTCTAATTTGTCAGTTCATGCCTTAACAGATTCCATAGTTTATGGAAATAGCTCTATTATTCAGTGTTCTTATGACATATTGAACTTTTTGATAGAAGGAATTAAATACTCACAGAAATGGTATTTAGTTTAAAATTTTTTAACAGAATTTAGTTATAAAAAAATTATATTAAGTAGGCCAAGTCTGGAAGTTACATGCCCGTAATCCCAGTGGATTGTGAGGCTGAGACAGGAGGATCACAAGTTCAAGGCCAGCCAACAGCTATCTAGTTACCTACCCCCCAATGTATTAATTATAAACAACCTAAAGGAGGTTTTAAAAAATTAATTTGTGTGTGTGTGTGTATTTTTGTTGGGGAGGAATCCTTATGCTTTATTGCTTTTTTTGAAGTAAGATTTTTATGTAAATTCAAAAGTGTATCTGTGATTTTTAATGTACCCCTAAGTTTAGGGAAAAGAAACTAACATTTTTTGAATGCTGAAGGTACTTTACTAGGCAACTGACATATTTTTTCCTCATCCAATTGTGATTGTTCCACAGCTGCAAAAACTCTCCAAGTTTACATGGGTTTTCACAATGTCACAAATATAGTAGAACATTGTAAATATAGTCTTGAGTTTCTCTTTTTAAAAGCCATGCCTTTTCTTCTATACTGTCTCCCTTCTTGAACATTCATAAGAAAGGCATGTCACAACTTTTGTTTTAAGATTTTTTCCTATGGATAAAAAAATAGAAATTCAATACATATATGTAGTGTCTTTGTCTCACAACTTTTTTTAAAAAAACAACTTTGTTCTTACAATTTTTATTTTAGTTGTAAGCTAATAAAGATAGACATTATTATCCCTAATTTTATAGGCAGACAGACATTGAAGCATATGATCCAGAAGATAGAACATGATGATGATGGAGTTAAGATGTAAGCAAGTGTTCTTGGCTCTTCCTTCAAGATTTCTTTCTTTAGACAATATACTTATATTCCAACAAAATATACTTATAATGTGTGTAACATATACAGTCATAAGAACAAACTCAGTACCACCATCACCAAAACAAAGAAAAAACACTTCCCAAATTAATAATGGGATTTTAGTCATTTACTAAGGGAGGTATTTGTCATTTATGTGATGACCCAGACAGGTGTATAGTATGTTTATCCATTGTTTAATATATTAAAGGCACATAGAGAAGATAGGGTTTATTTTCAACCTTGACCATTATGCCTTTAGAATATATAAATGCAGGTTTTCTCATTTATAAAAGTGCCCATTTTAAAAATCCAACAATTCAATTCATAAGCTTATCTCTGAAACAGAGTGTGTGTAAGGTACTCAAAGTTGTTGCCATGGAATAGCATTTTTAAAAATTGAAATAATAAACCAGCATAGTGTTCCTGTTTACTTTGCTTTAATTTACTGCCTTCCAAGGGCCTGCATGTAGAGGATTGAAGGTTAGCTCTAAATTAGATTTCTCCATAGAACTTTCTTACCATTGTCTTTTAAAAAACACAAACAAAAAAAGAAGATATAGTTCATTTAGCTCATGGTTCTGGAGGTTGGAAATTCAAGATTGGGTACTATATCTGGCAAGGACCTCATACTGTGTTAGGATATGGCAAAAAAGCAGAAGGGTAGATGATTATATATAGAGAATACAAACATGAGATAGACTGGTGACGTAAATCAATGGTGAAGTTCTTAGTATGCACAAAGCCTGGGTTCCATTTCTAGTACCAAAGGGGAGAAGAATACAAAGCCCAGGTATCCTTAATGGGTGGTAAGAGGGGTGACAAAGTGTCCAGTAGTAAAGTTACTGAACATAGTTCAACTTGAGTGGACAAATGAGGGAAAAAAAAAAAATGATTCACGAATTTGCATGTTGTTCTTGCATAGGGGTCATGCTGATCTCTGTATTGTTCCAATTATAGTGAATGTGCTGTCAAAGCAAGCACCTACCACAATCCTTTTTAAAATTATTGATTAGTAAGAATAATGAGGAAGTGAAATTGTAGGATTGTCATTTTTATTAACAAAAAATTGAATATTATTTTTAAAGTTTGGATGTCATTTAAAAACTCTCCAAATTTTAAATTCATTATTTTTTGAGTGAACCTGAAATAAAGGAATTATAATTAATAAGAAAATTTCTAAATGATAACTTTAAAAAACACAACTTTGTAGCCAGGCCTGGTGGTGTGTATCTGTAATCCCAGCTTCCCAGGGAGACTGAGACAGGAAGATCGAAAGTTCTAGGCCAGGTTTGTCATCTTAGGGAGACTTTGTCTCAAATAAAACAATAACAACAAAAATGTTATGGCTGACAAGTATACAAGATAGTCTGCTGTGATTAAAAATATTATACTACCTCTGAGAGTTAGATCTTAGTAAAGGAATAATAACAAACACCCTAGTGATTTCAACAGAATTTCATATAGGGAATCAGTTACAAAGATATGGAGAGAGTTGAAAGAGCAAAAAGCTGATGCTGAGACAACACAAATGAAATGATTGCAGAAAACAGCTGAATTACTATGCTCAAATGAAGGTAGTTTTTGCTAGTTGATGAAGAGGAGAGACCAAGGGTTGTTTCAGATTCATAGCTTCAGTATTCCCTGAGATGGGTATGCTGGGTTGAGTGAGGCCTGTTGGGGGACCGAAGTCAAGGCTACAACTCCAAGCTAAAAAGCAGCTTTAGCTTAGATTAACTGAAATGGTCCTTGCTGGCAACACAGGGCACAAAGGAAAGTGCTGTAGGAATAAAGGACAGAGTTTGGGAGAGGTTGAAGTCAACAGAACTTTGAAGGCCAGAGGGAAAGCCCTAAAAACTTGATCTTAGACACATGAGAAGGAAGTCCGGTTTTGCTGGCAGTCCTACAGGATGTGAAAAGGCTTGTGAAAAAAGTGTTGAAAAAAAGATAACATCAATTATGATGCTAAAACAGAGTGAGTGCCACTGTAGGAGTGACATGTGCAAGGTTGGTAGGATTGATGTAAAAGGCACAAGAAGAAAGTTTTATGTAGTGTGTGTGGGTGTGCGTGCGCAGGCATGCATGTCCATCCACGGGCAAGCACATTTATGCCTCAAAATTCCCTTTTCTGTTACTGGTCACAAGGCCATAGTTAATATTTGCAGTTTCTTTTTCCACTATTTATTTTGTATACCCTATCTTCAACCTTCTAATGGTCAAGTTTTTACCTTTGGGGATAACTCAGACCTTCGTGCTTGGAAAATCATAATCCTCAATGCAACCATCTTTTTTTTTATTATTAGTTACAATTTTCCATTAATTCTTGTTATTGGATATGTCCTAAAAAAAGATTCTCTGGACCCAGGAATTGCAGCAACCCCAATATTTACTTTGTAATCAAAACCAATCATGCCAGCCAATAACCCTTCCTTTGCTGAGTGATTCAGTGCAATGAAGAGTACAAAATGGCCAAGCAATGTTGCAAAGTTCTAATTCAGTGAACGTATTCTGGAAACATTACATCCTTAAGTGCTATGATCTCTGAACCATTGAAGCCCAAAGTTGCAGAAGCAAAATTTTGTTAAGTTATTGAACATAATGAAAGAAACTATTACTTAATTTCTATGCACATTTTTTTTTTGGGCACTAGGAGAAATAGCCTGGTGTTTTAGTTCACTGATATAAAGCATATACCATATCCTTTATTAAGGTGCAGCCCCAAGCTTTGAGGTCACTTTGTTTTATATACTGAGTTTTGCTTATGGAGTTTCTAGTAAGCCTGTTTTGTTAGGTTAGCTAAGTCTGATGGCATATACAAATGAGCTCAGTGCTGTACTTCTTTCGTTGTGAAATGAGTTCATTAGTTAGAACCAGGCTTATGTTGAAAGCCATAGATGAATAAGATATTTTCCAAACCTATGAATGGTAGTACTAGCCGAAGCATTACTGTCAGAGAATACAATTTTATATCCAGAAAAATGGTTCCCTCCCTCCCATTCCTCCCTCCCTCCCTCCCTCCCTTCCTTCCATCCCAGTGAAGACAGATCATTGCCTCTTCCCTTATTGGAAAAAAAAAATCTATTACCAGGAAGTCCATGTTGTGCCCATGCCTAACCTCCATCCCTTTGTACATTATTGTACAAGTAGCAAGTGGGGAAAAAAAAAGCTGACTAAACAACAATGTCTTCTTATCTATGTTATTGAGAGCCTTTTCTTTAATGGGTAATGTATAGGAAAAATTTTATGTGTGTTCCTCATTCTTTCTAGTTACCCAGTTTTCCAGTTTCATTCTTTCCAAGTCCTGATCATTCTCTAGCCCATTAATTGTTTATGATTCAAAGAAGATTTGTACCTTAGTGGCTCTCTTCTTCCAAATGAAATGGCCAACCTGTGGTGCAATTTTAACTTATCCCCACTAGGAGGCTTTTCTTTCACTGCTGTTTTTCAGGCATAACTTTGATTGAGGCTATAATATTGGATCAGTCAAGTTTTGGTTGGTGCCAGCATATTATACATACCTAATTTTTCTCTTCCCAGTCTTAAGTTTTTTCTTCTTTCGTAAGCTTACTTATCTCTTAGTTATTGATGGGAAATGCAAGGCATAACAACAGATATTTCATCCCAATATGATTTTGACCACTGGACCCCAGAAGCTTTATTAAATTAGTAGACTCCTATTAAGACAGAGGCCCTTGCATTTTTTTGAGTGTGTAGCATGCATGTGTTATATCAAAACATCAGTTACTACTTCTGTTCTTTTAGGTTCAATCCTCATTATCATCAATGTCATATTGTTCTGTGGAATGTCTAGGTGATCAGGATCTTTCTGGATCAGATTATTGTGACAATGGCAGGAAACTAACATAGTATCTTCAGAAAAAGACAATGAATGTATACTGTGTTGGGTGAAAGTAAAATGCTTGTCATGATACTTGCAAATTAGTGTACAAAATAAAAAACATGCCAAAGATCATTTGCTAATAACCCTAACTCTGTGGATCAGGAAATCAGTGTAGGATTTCTGGCAGTTACTGTGTCTTTCTAGTATGCATTTAGGACCTGGGGGAATAACTGTAGGGAAAGTTGACAGATTGAACTTACTTGAACCTACAAAGAGCCAGTTTATGCCAAGACTTCATTTACATTGTAACCTTTCACTTTGAAAAATCTCTAGGAATTAACATCATTTCAGGAGGCAGAATCTGTCAGTGCCCTAAAATTTTGAGTATTTTAATTAGTACACAGATAGCTAGTAAACAGCTGCAGGTGTCTTAGGGAATATCTTAGAATAAAATTTACAGTACACACTTGTGTCTCTGTTGCATTGTTTTTGTGGGGTCCAGAACTCCCATTTAATCCAGCGATTTTATGTTTGTAAACTACTTGTGCTTAGAAACTCTGGGAGTGACTGACTATCCATTTTGGTTACTGAAGTTGGGATGTAAGCTGCCAGGTTTAAAGTTTCTGTTGTTCATAGATCAAGTAATATTTTCATGGCCTGACCTTAAATTTTTTTCCATAGAAATACTGTGGCTTAGTGAAGTACTATTAAAGGTCTCTGCAAATTGATTGCTGCTTTTGTCCTTTAGTGTAATTGCTCATATTTTTTTCTTATCATTAAATTTTGCCATTTGATTTCTACCATTCTGGTATCTTATCATGCTCATTAGGAAGACTGTCAGTGGTGTCTTGTACTCATTTCATTCCAGCCCACAGAAGAAAGCCACTACAAAGTTTTTCAAGGATATAGATTCATTTACTAATATATTTTTTAATCCTAAAACGCAGTATCCTTCATGACTTCATGGATGATGTTGTAGGAGGGTGTATGTACAGTAGACATATCGTCACAATGAGCTATACATAATTTAGTATAGCATGGTATGGATCACTAGTATCACATTTTCTCTTGGCAAGGAACTAGCAATAAATTGAAGGTCAAGGACATAAGCAAGCCAGTTCTCCAATCTTATCTTTAAAAGTATGTTTCCCAGGACCCCTTAGGATCTAGTCAGGAAAATGAAAGTCTATGTATTAGAACAGAGAAACATTAATGTAGTGTTGGTTATACAGGTGTGAAAGACAAAAGAGCAAAAAGGTGAGCCTTAGATATAGTAACTGATGGAAGAAGTTAATACTCTTAAATGAGGCTCAGAGGGGGTCTATGGAACAGGGGTCAGACCTATGAACACATATTGTCCAGCTGCTGCTGGTATCTGTAGGAATATCAAGAAGCTGGTTATAGGGCTGTTGATATGGTTCAGTGGTATAGCACTCCTATAGCATGCATGAGGCCATGGGTTTAATCCCCAGTATGGAGGAGGTTGGAATGGGGGAGAAGAAGCTGGTGATTCATAGTGGAGTAGGGAAGGGGAGCATGGGAGGAATAGATGAACTCTAGATAGGGCAGAGAGGTGGGAGGGGAAAGAAGGGGGCAGGGGTTTAGAAATGATGGTGGAATGTGATGGACATTATTATCCAAAGTACATGTACGAAGACATGAATTGGTATGAATATACTTTGTATACAACCAGAGATATGAAAAATTGTGCTCTATATATGTAATAAGAATTGTAATGTATTCCTTTGTCATATTATAAATAAAAAAATTAATTAAAAAAAGGAGAGGACTGGAACCTTTAGGTGATGCTGATGGAAATGCATGCAACCAAGAGGTAAGAAGTCTTGACTTCCTTCCTCCTAACTAATAACCCCTGTTGCAGGAAACCATCTAGCAAAGGAAAATACAGTTTTTCAGTTTCTCGGCTCCTGTATCTCAGACTCAAATAGAAGATATATAGAAGGATATTTTGGACTCAAGAAACAATAAGTCAGTTACCTGCTTACTGTCCTAAGCTGTTTTTCTTAGGGTTTGAGAAGTTGTGGCAAATATTAGAGATATGAAGAAGTTTCATTGCATACTTTCTGTTCATAGATATTTAGGAACTCACATTGGATTTCAACAATGTCATGCTTTCCTCTTTTGGACATTTCTTAGTTCCCATGTCTTATTTATAGGATTACTTTCTTTGAATTTAACAACTGGGAGAGAGGGTAGATTTTTATGTTTTTTGTGTTTGGATCAGTGATTACTGAAGTGTGCTCTGTGGTGAGATCTGAACTTTGCTTTTGAATTTTTTTTTTCCTTTAACCTATAATGAGAAACACTTGGAAGCTCAGACACACATATGCAAATGTGTGATAGAATACAAAGTTTTATGAAACACTTGATCCTCTTAAGTGACATATCCCAATAATTTCTATTCTATTCTGGTTTTTAAAAGACTTATCACAAATCTCTAAATCAACCGTGTAATCTATAGTTTGATAAACATCAGAGCAATAGTATGATAAAAGGAAATTGACATAAATATTCTCTCTTGCTTGGTTGTTTGAGCAGTGCTTCAATTGAGTATGTATTGGTTGTTGTTGTTTCTGTGCAGGTTCCCAGTCTATTCTCTTTCCTTAAATTCCAGGGGAGAATAAAAATGTTTTAGAGCTGGTCTTGAGATCTGGTGGTGGTGGAAGACACATACAAAATGATGCTGCAACTAAACCATACTTTATGTTCCCTCCCTTCCCAAACTTTTCCTTTAGTGAGGAAACAAAAAGGTGACAATGCATATCACAAATTAAGTCAGAAAAAAATCCAGTGTTTTGAATGATTATTCCTCATTTATTAGTTTGGCAAATATTTGATTGCCTCCTATTATTTGATTGCCATGTAAAAAATATTGAGCTCAGAGCAGAGGATACAGATGTAAAAAACAAATGCGATGCACAAAGCTCAACTCAAAGTGGTTCAAGGAATTAGTCCAGAGACCCTGCACCTAACAGAGGAAAAAGTAGGCCCAAATCTTCATCATGTCAGATTAGGCCCCACCTTTCTTAACAAGATTTCTAAAGCACAAGAAATAAAATCAAGAATTAATAAATGGAGGGGCTGAGGTTGTGGCTTAGCGGTAGAGTGCTTGCCTAGCATGTGTGAGGCACTGTGTTTGATTCTCAGCACCACATATAAATTAATAAATAAATAAAGGTGCATTGACAAGTAAAAAAAAAAAAAAGAAAGAATAAGTGGGATGGACTCAAACTAAAAAGCTAAAAGAAACAATCAATGAGGTGGACAGAGCCTTCATTTTGGAAGCAAATTTTTGCCACACACACATCAGATAGAGCACTAATCTCCAGGATATATAAAGAACCAAAAACTTAACATCAAAAAAATAAACAACCCAATCAATAAATGGGCTAATGAGCTGAAATACACTTCTCAGAAGAAGATATACATTTGATCAACAAATATATGAAAAAGTGTTCAACATATCTAGTAATTAGAGAAATGCAAATCAAAACTAAGATTTTATCTCACACCAGTCAGATTGGCAGTTATCAAGAATACAGACAATAATAAATATTGGGAGGATGTGGGGGAAATGGCACACTTATACATTGCTGGCTAGACTGAAAATTGATGCAGTCTGCATCAAAACAGATGCAGATTCCTTAGAAAGTTTGGAATGGCACCACCATTTGATCCAGCTATCCCACTCCTCGGTTTATACCCAAAGGATTTAAAATCAGCATACTACAGTAATGCAGCCACATCAATGTTCATAGCAACTCAATTCACAATAGCTAAACTGTGGAAGCAACCTAGATGCTCTTCAGTAGATGAATAGATAAAGAAAATGTGATATATATACATAATGGAATATTACTCAGTATTAAAAGAGAATAAAATTATGGCATTTGGAGGTAAATGGATGGAGTTGGAGAATACCATGCTAAGCAAAGTAAGCCAATCCCCCAAAATCAAAGGCCAAATGTTTTCTCTGGTAAGTGGATGCTGATCCATAACGGGCAGGGGGAGGCATGGGAAAAATTGAGGAACTTTGGGCAAAGGGGACAGAGGGCAAGGAGGGTTCATAGGGGCAGGAAAGATGGTGGAATGAGATGGACACCATTACCTTAGGTACATGTATGACTGCACATATAGTGTGACACTATCATGTGCAACCATAGAAAGGTAAAGTTGTACTGCAATAGTGTACAATGAATCAAAATGCATTCTGCTGTCTGCAAATTTTTAATTATAATATCGGTAGAGAATTAGACCTAGTCTATGGTAACAAAATGAATTGAAATATATTCAGTCAGAGATATGAAATATGAAATATAATTAAGTCTAAGAAAAATAGAAGTGAGATTGATTTGGTGAAGAAAAACTTTTCTTTGAAGGAATAGCTTATGTTCTTTGGTGAAATGTTAAGGACCAAGGTAAGATAAGATTAATGAAGACAGTTGTGGTTATTAACATATGCTACAGGATGAGAATGGAAAGGTAGGGTTCAAATCAGGGCTTTAAAGGGTACTCTATTAGAAGAGCTGTCAGGATTAATGGAAAGATTAGGAAATAAAATGTACAAAGACATTTTTTTTCTTTAATTTCACTTTAGGGATGGTGTTTTAGTCAGCTTTTCACTGCTGTAACTAAAGGATCTGACCAAAACAACTGTAGTGGAGGAAAAGTTTATTTGAGGGCTCACAGTTTCACAGGTCTTATTCTATCAAATCCAGCTCCATTTCTTGGGGCTAAAGATGAGGCTGAACATCATGGTGGAGTGTGTGGCAGAGGGAAGCAGTTCACATCATAGTAATCAAAAAGCAGAGATTCCACTTGCCAGATATAAGTATATTTCCAAAGCCATGCCACAATGCCCACCTTCTTCAGCCACACCCTACCACTTCAGTTCTACTCAGCTATTCCATATCAGGGGATTAAATCACTGATTGGGCTAGAATCTTACAACTCGATCATTTCTCCTCTGAACTTTTACTCTCATGTGAGCTTCTGGGGGTTACCTCACATCCAAACCATAACAGGTGGTATGGAATGGATTATAGGGGAGCAAGAGAATGTAGTAAGAGATTAGTTGGGAGGCTGTTATGTTAGTTGGTACAAGAGATGATTGTGACTTGGATTAAGGTAGCAGTTTAAGAGAGTAAAGGTGGATTATTTATCTAAAAGATTTAGGAGGTAAAATTGAAAGAACTGATTAGACTTGGGAGTTGAAGAAGAGAAGGCATTAAGGATAACACCAGAGGTTTCTGGATTAGGCTGCTGATATTAAGAATAATCAAGGAGGATCAGACTTGGGGAAACATTAATGAAGGTTTAGATACACTGAGTTTGTGGTTCGAGATCTTACTAGGGTACTAGCATTGTCCAAATATAATTATTTTTCCCATTTTACAAATGAAACAGCTATTAAGTAGACAGATCTATGATTTCATTTTTCTTAAGAAGACAAAAGATTTGAAATATGTTTAAATGTTATTCACAGAATTGGGGCAGGGTTGGGGGAGCAGAGAATCCAGAACACAGGAGTTACCAAAGATATTGGAAAGGAAAGGAGGTATAATCCTTAATGTAAAGCTAATAGAAGATGGTATTAGATTTTTCATATAGGAACAATGATGTCCCCTGTATTTTATATGAAGGGAGAGTGCATATCTGGGTTAGTTTGTGGATTTGATGTTAAGGGGAATTCCTCTTGATGTTTTCTCTTTTCTCTGTGGACTAGGAAAAAAAAAAGTCTTTGAAGACCACGAGTTAGAGGGTGTAGAGTGAGGAATAAAGCTGTAAAATTTCCAAATAGTCTTTGTGGAAAGTAGAGTTAATGAGTCAAATCATGACTCAATTAGAGTGTGTGATATTGTGGCCTTTGGTCCCTGAAAAAGATTTATTGGAGGAAGTGGAACTTAAGTTTGGTCTTGACTCATGGGTGTGTAAACTTCATAGGAAGAATATAGAAGTCAAGGATGAAGAGGGTCCCTAGTAGTATTCTATAATGATCTATTTGATGATAATCCTTCTTTTCTGTTAACGTTGTAGTGATTATGGAGGTGAGACCATACCAGGCCCTGCATTTGATCCAGCAAGTCACCCAGCTCCAGCTACTACTCCCTCCTCTTCTTCAGCGTTTCGACCTGTGATGCCATCTAGGCAGATTGTAGAAAGGCAACCTCGTATGCTGGATTTCAGAGTTGAGTACAGAGACAGAAATGTTGATGTGGTACTTGAAGACAGCTGTACTGTTGGTAAGAATTTCTATACCATAAAGTCCTCACAAATGAGTAATTAATTAGGTATATATTCGGTTGAAATTCTTTTCTTTTGAGTTGATTGCTACCAAGAAGGGTTGTGTGGGGAGGAACAAATTGAAACTGATGCTTTCTCATATAAGTCGATCATTGTGTTCTGTGAGTTTGAGGTAAGTTTAAGAATAATTGTTTTTTGTTGTTCCACATGGATGAGATGGTGTATGATGCTTTTTTAGGGCTGATGCAAATCAAAAATACTATAATTATTGGGAACATTGCATACCAGTTTTATTACTAAAACACATTCATTTTTCATAGTATGTTTCTTAGTTTTGTGCAGTAACAGAATACCCGAGCCTGGATAATTGGTGAAGAAAAAAAATTTATTTTCTCCTATTTCTGAGGATTGGGAAATCGAAGATCAAGGCACTGGCAGGTTGAGTGTCTGGTGATAGCTGCTTTCTGTTTCCAAAATGGTACCTCTGGAGGGAGGACTGCTGGGTTCTCACATGGCATAAAGCGGAAGGGCAAAGGAATGAGTTTTCTTTGTCAAGCCCTTTAATAAGCATCTCTAAAGGGCAGAACCCTCATTGCCTAATTACTTCTTAAAGGTTCTACTTAATACTCTCACATTGACACTACCTGATGTATTCAAAGCATGAAAATCAGATGTGAGTTGTGTTTTCATCTTTTTCTTTTTTAAATTTTCTCTCTCTGCCAGTTGAAAAATCCTATTAAAGGAAACTCAAAATATGTGCTTGTCATTTTTGGATAGACTTTAACTTACTTTAAGTAACTAAGTTACTCTAGCTTAACCATATTGAAGTTGTATTTGGTTCAGCTTATTTGATCCAATTTTGTTATAGACTGAGAAATTGTATTCATTTCTATTTTAATGTAGTTTTGCCTTAAATCTAGATAAATTTGAAATTTTGCCTTTGTTCATTTTGTGAGAAATCATTTTGTAATACAGTTTCACTAATTGGCATTGAGAAACAAAACTGTTGAAACACTAAACAGTAATCAGACTATATTATTCTCTCACTTAAAACTGTTAAAAAACTTTTCATTGTTTTTTAGGATAAACTTTTAACATGACTTGTAAGTTCCTGCTTAATTCGGTCCCTGCCTATATTTCCAGTTTTACCTTTACCACTCTTTCTCTCTTACTCACTGAACTGTCATAATTGACTTTTTTTCCTGTTAACTGAATGGGTCTATAGCATTGTTCATTTGTTTTCTTATGATCTTCTAGCTGGATGTTTTCATTATTGAAGGTAAAATATTGAAATCCTTTACTCTAATTATGTTGATTTCTGTTTCTGCCATCAGTTTTATGTTTGCTTCATATATTTGGGTACTCTGATGCTATACATTTATAATTTTAATTGACCCTTTAATTATCATAAAATATCCTTAGTTGTCTTTTATGACAAGTTTTGACTTAGTTGGTTTTGTTTATGTAAATATGGCCGCTCCTACTTTTCATTATTATTGGAATGGGATATTTTTCTATCCTTTGTGTATCCATAAATCTAAATTCAGTCTTTTGTAATAGCATACAATTGAATCTTTTTTAAAAATCCACTAAACTACTCTTTATGTCATTAAAAAAAATCTTTAATAATATACAAATTTTAATCATATACATTCTCTTCTGTTTTATTTCTCCCCACTCTGGATATTTTATGTTATTGTCATAAATGATACATCATTTCATATTGGGCATCCATTATTTTGCTGTTTTTTTTTTTTTTTGTACTGTCTTTTAAGTTACATAGCAGGTTAACAATGACTTAAAACCATAATATAGAATTCTGCATTTGTCTATACATTTAGTTTTACCAGTGAACTTTATATCTTCATATACTTTCTTGTTGCTGCCTAGTATGCTTTTGTTTCAACTTGAAGAATTCACCTTACCATTTATAATGAAGGTGCTAAACTCCTTCAGCTTTTGGTTATCAGGGAAAGCTTTTCTTTTAATTTTTTTTTTTTATCTGCAGACAGACATAGTACCTTTATCTTATCTATTTATCTACTTATTTATTTTAAATATTTATTTTTTAGTTGTAGTTGGGCACAATACCTTTATTTATTTATTTAGTTATTTTTATGTGGTGCTGAGGATCGAACCCAGGGCCCCGCAAATGCTAGGCAAGTGCTCTACTGCTGAACCCCAGCCCCTATTTATTTATTTTTTATGTGGTGCTGAGGATCAAACCCAGTGCCTCACATGTGCCAGGCAAGTGCTCTACCACTGAGTCACAACCCCAGCCCCTCTGTTTCATTTTTGAAAGTTCATTTGCCTGATAAGAGTTTTCTGGGTTTGCAAATATTTTAATTTCCTTACTATTGCCATTTTGTTATTTTCTGTCTTAATGACTTTTGTCCCCCCCCCCCCCGTCTTACTCAGCTGTGTGTCTCAGTGGGATATACATTCCCACTCCCTTCTGATATACAAGGTTTCTGACTTCTGACAATATAATTAAAATGTGTCTTTGCTTGGACTTCTTTGTCTTTGTCCTAGTGAAGTCCTTTTGGTTTCTTGGATCTGGATGTCCAGTTCATTCCTCAGATTGGGAGCTTTTGGTCTGTTATTTCTGAAAATAAACTTTTAAGCCCTTTGACTTTTCTCTTTTTGTGAGTCCCATAATGAGCAAAGTGGTTCACTTGGTGATGTGGACCAGGTCTCTTAGGCTTGCTTCAATCTTTTTCATCTTTTTTTCCTTCTCTGGATAATTTTGTAATTTCAGGAGATCTGTTTTCAAGTTTGTGAATTTTTTTTCTTTTGCTTTATCAAGTCTGATGTTGAATCCTCCAGTGAATTTTTCAATTCTGTTACTGTGTTCTTCACCTGCATAATAGTTTTTTTTTGGGGGGGGGATTGAACTAGGGATTAAACTCAGGGGGCACATGACCATAGAGCCATACCCCTAGCCCTATTTTGTATTTTATTTAAAGACAGGGTCTCACTGAATTGCTTAGCACCTCGCTTTTGCTGAGGCTGGCTTTGAACTTGTGATCCTCCTACCCCAGCCTCCTGAGCTGATGGGATTACAGGTGTGTGCCACCATGATTGTTTTTAACAATTTCTCATTGTTGATATTCTCATTTTCCTCATACATTGTTTCCATGAGCTCATTTAGCACCTATTATTTTTCAGGTAATTTATATCCTTCTATTTGTTGGCATTGGTTTCTGGAGATTTAATTTACATCATTGTTTTTTCCTTGTTTCCCTGTTTCTTTGTGTATCTTTTAACTGTTGGGATCACCCTCACTCCCTTCCCTAATAGCTGCCTCTTTTCAGTCTTTATGGACTTAGATTCATACAGGGAAAGAACTTTGATACCTTTTCTGTGAATGCGCCTTTGGATTTACATCTGTTAAGTTTGTAGAGGGATTTGCTGATTTCTTTTTTTAGGAGTATGCAATCTCTTACTCTGGTGTCTTTCTATAGAATTACAAGTTCTTTGGAAGAGCTGCAAGGTGCACATCTTTTTTTCTTAGTGGTTTGCAGCCTTTTAGAGTACTGTGGGTCTCATCAGTGCTCTGAGTTGAGTAGCCGACAAACGAGAACCTTGGGTGGTGTCCCTCAAAGGTGGACTGTTGGATGTACACTGCACTCTCCCCAAAAGAGTGATTAGTTGTATTAGTTGTATTAGCCCCTGTAGGCTGCACTGCAAGCCCTCTGAAACAGCACCAAGCTGTCTGGCTGTCCTTTGTTCTCAGTAGCTTCCAGGTATGTAGAGTGTGTTGGGTTCTGTCAGCCCACCAAAACAGATGAGATAGAAATCAGTGCCTTGAGTAGCATCCCCAGCAGTGGTGTGTAGGAACTGTTAAGTGAACATGTGTTAATCTAATCCATCATCTTTGTTGTTAATGGCTCTCAACCTGGTACCCTTTCCTGTCAGTGCTTAGATTCAGGCATGACAGAAACCAGTCCTTTAGGCAGCCTTTGAAAAAGCCTCACTACGGTAGATAGGTTTCAGTCTTCTTTTACTTTTCCAGGGAGAACTTGAGAACTGGAAGTTTTCTCAATGAGTCCCAGGGAAAGATTATGCTATAGACTTTCCTGAAGGCTGGTTTTCCTGAAGGCTGTGTCTGGTTTCTTTTTTACCCAGAGTATAATCATCTCTTAATTGATATCTGGATTTCTTACAAAGGTTTTTTTTTTTCTTATTTTTAATTTTTATTGAATTGATATCTCCATAAAGGGTCAGAGAATCTGGGGCTTCCTGTTCCATTATCTAGTTGACATTACCTCTTTCCTGTATATTCTATTGTGTTATTTATTTCCTCTTTCATAGTACTTAATGTTTTATAATATATTTTTTTCTGACTAGATATGTTCTTCTTCATCTTTTTTTTAAATAGATGGACACAAAACCTTAATTTTATTTCTTTCTATTTTTATGTGGTGCCAGGGATCCAACCCAGTGCCTCATGCATGCTAGGCAAGTACTCATACTGAGCCACAACTCTGCCCCCTAGATATGTTCTTTGAATACTAAGGCCATTTCTCTTTATTGCTGTGGTTTCATTATTAAGCGCATGGTTGTTTAATAAAATACAAACCTGTTGACCGAATACAGTTACTTTTTATGGAATTGATTACAGTTTTGAGTTACTTAATGATGGAATACATGTTTGTTAGGCATTTCAGCATTGTATGAACATATAGAGTATACATACATAAACTAAGATAGCTACAGTGTTACTAGGTGATATCATCCTAGGAATCAACATTGTATATGCACTCTGTTCACTGAAATGTCATTGTGTGGCACATGACTATATTTGTATGAAATTACTTTATTAATAACATATGTTCAATTTGCCATTCAGGGCTGGCATGTATGTGGCTTCAGTTTCTTTTTATACTTTGTATGACTAGGACCACTGAAAATGGGCATGAGTTATATAACCTTCCACCTAGATAACAAATAAAACCTCCCATTTTTGGCAGAAGAAAGTCCTACATTCACTAATGTC